CCGGGCTGGCCTGGAATTTGCCACAATCCTCCTCTGCCTCAGCATCCCAAACTCTAGGATTACAGGCACACACCACCATGCCATGACCAGCTTGGTTTTGTTCTTTACTTGAAAGTCGCTGTCACCACTCCCCATCTCTTCTGTCATCACTCACTGATGACACCTACACCTGCGTGCTCTTCTTCCCACATCCGGTCAGTGTCACGGACGGACATTGTCCCTCTTCACTGGACTGGGAAAGTCTTTGGGCTGAATATGAACTTTGTGTGCTATCATTAAATGTCCTAAGGTTCAATTCCTATTTTCTATCTATTCTTCAACCCAAAGATGGAGAACAAGTGGAAAAACACAGGTCAGGTTCTGTTTTCTTTGTATAGTTGCCAAAATTTGCCACAAGATTTTAGAATAAAAACCAAACTAGACCAATACAAAGCCTCACATTACAATTTCAACTTTACTCTTCCTAATGCTGTTATTATGGGCTCAAAACATTATTTATATAGATTATATAACATCCTTAGAAAACTTGGCATCAATCATGTTTACTTTAACACTCAAAAGTGTTATTGTAACACTCAAAAGCTCAAAGCCAATTCATTTTCCTGGACAATGGAGTTTTTCAATAAATACTGTTCTAATTAATGTAAGAATATTATTCAAAAATAAATTTAGGGCCGGAAATTTAGCTCAGTGGTGCCACCGCCTGCCTCGCAAGTGCAAGGTCCTGAGTTCGATCCCCAGTACCAAAAAAAAATTTTTTTTAATTAAAAAATAAATACATTTAGAGCAGGTATGGAGACACACAAGGGTAACAAAGTGAACATAAGCCAGATGTGGTGGCATACACCTGTAATCCCAACACTTGAGAGGTTGAAGCAGGAGGATTGCTGTTTGAGACCAGTCTGGGTTAAATAGTGGGTTCAAGGCCAGCCTGGACTACATAGTGATACTGTCTCAAAAAAATGAAAGAAATACAAGAAAGGAAGGAAGGAAGGAAGAAAGAAAATCACTAGAATAAACAAATGAAAATATTGCCAAAACCACATGTTTGAGAAGATATAGAATAATTGAAGCTCTCAAAATTGGCAGTAGAGATTCTCACACATCCATCTATCCTATGACTCAGCAATCCCACTTCTATTTCCCCAAGAGAACTGGAAATGTGCATCCCACACACACACAAAGCTCTGTACAAAAATGTTTATAGCAGCTTTATGCATGATACACATAACCTGGAAACAATTCAGACATCCATCAGCAAGAGAATGGAAAAACAAAATGGACTATTTCTCAGCCACAAAAAGGAACAAATGACTGATGTACGAAACAACATAAATGCATCCGAAAATTACTATTCTGAGTGCTGAGACGATTCAATGGAAAAAGAACAGCCTTTTCAACAAAGTGTTGGGAAACTAGACATTCACAGGCAAAAGAAGCTGGACTTCTACATTACACTACAAGGAAAAATGAACTTAGGTGGTACACTACGGCCGAAGCTCCAGCAAATAGGAGGCTGAGGCAGGAAGGTCACATTCAATGTCAGCCTGGACTACACAGACAATGTCTCAAAAAGCCAAAAAAACAAAAACCCAAAGCAAACAGGCCAGGAATGTAGCTCAGCAGTGCAGTGTATGCCTGGCAAGTGAGTCCCTGAGTTCGATTCCCAGTACCAAAACACCCCAAAGCAATCAAGAAAATGGACATGGGAGTGTCTAGGAGGAAGGAGAAGAGGGGAAGGAGAAAAAATTAAGATGTGCTATATACATGGACCAACTCCCCACGATGATTGCAATCATCATGTACTGCAAATGTATACTAATACAAATTTAAAAGTTAATAAAGAAGACAAAGGAATGGCTAACAGGTCCATATAAACATGTTAAGTATCACTAAGCATAAGAGGCATTGCTTTTCCCACCCACCTGGAGTGCTAACATTTTCAGATGGACATCAACAAGTTGGCCAAGCCTCAGATCACTTGGGCCCAATGAGGCACTGCTTTGGCAATTGTTACAGTTTCCCCGTGTGCAAGCTGCCCATGGTGATGTATTCACTACGGATCACAAACATGCACTAGAGGCAGGAGGATCTTCAGAAAGGAGGTCAGCCTGGGCCACATAGTGAGTTTGAAGCCAGCCTGAACTACATAGTGAGGTCTTGTCTCAAAAACAAACAAAAATGTAGTATGTTTATACCATGGAACATTGTTATAGACAGCCAAGTCAGGTAGAAATATTGTAGGCAGTCAGACAGGGCTGAGCCCTTGAGCAAGTCAGCGCAGAAGATGAGAACACTAAGAAGCTGTAACTTGAGGTGCATTTGATTAAGGTTAAAGCCACAATGGCCAGACTTGCATACTTCCCTAAGGAATGAACAGAAGCTGGAGATTAGTGGTAATACCCTTTTGGGCTTTCCCCTCTAGATATAGACCATTAACTATCTCATTGGGAGTGGGCCACCCTCTCCCACCCACTAAGACTAAGAAGACTAAGACTACAGATTATGGACCAAGGTTAATGATGTCATTCATATGCCCTTGTTACTACTGGGTCAATATCACCTAAGCGACTATACTTGTAATCTTATTGATTGATTATAGTTTTTACTCATGTAAACTCTCATGACTTTGGTCTATTAAATTTCCTTTGAGAAGTGGGCTCATTGACAGCCCATTCGGGACCCCTCCTGTCTCTCAGGAGCTATTATTCTCCCTTTCTAATCCCCAAGAAATTTTCCTACTCTTAGCTTCTGTTGTTCCTTAGAATTCATTTTTCGACTTGGGGGAACATGAACTCAGCATACCTGACATCTAGCATGTTGGGAGTTATATCTATCTCTCTTCTATTATTCCTATATCAACATTCCCCAAATAGGGGAAAGAAAAGAAATTCTGCGTACTGTTACAGGCTGAAGCTTGAAAACAACGTCAAGAAGAAACACCAGGTGCTACATGATTAGGATGGATGAAGGGATTGTGTGGTGACAGCAAAGGTAAACTGTCATTTTTGGAAGTAACTTTGAATGTCCTAATATTCATTGTGGTGACGGTACCCAACTGTGAATATACTAAAAGCTATTGAATTATCTGCTTTAAGTGAGTGAACTGTGTGATATATGAATTATATTCCAATAAAGCTGGGATTTCTTTCTTTAAGAAATATTTCTCAAGTTCTGGATGCTGGGGGAAATAAAGCTTTTTTGAAAAGGGCTGGGGATTTAGCTCAGTGATGCGCAGCCTGCTTCACAAACACAAGAACCCAAGTTCGATCCCCGGTACAAAAAAAAAGACAACTTTTGCCAGGCATGGGGGCGCAAGGCCAGCCTGGGCTAAACAGTGAGACCCTGTCTTAAAAGACAAAACAGTACAAAAAAGCAACTGTAATAATATTCATATTGAGGAGACAGGTAGTGTGGTGCATGTCAATAATCTCAGCACTTTGGGAGGCTGAGGCAGGAGAATGAAAAGTTTGAATCTAACCTGTGTAATTACAAAAACCCTATCTCGGGCTGGGGATTTAGCTCAGTAGTTTTGCTGCCTGCTGCGCAAGCTCAAGGACCCGAGTTCAATCCCCAGGAACCCCCAAAAAAGCTCAAAAACCCTATCTCAAAATTTAAAATGGGGGCTGGGGATGTGGCTCAGTCTGAAGGCCCTACATTCGATCTCCAGTACCCCCAGCAAATAAACCCAAGGATATTTATCTTGATTATCCATCTATTCTTGAGTGAGAGAGGCAAGACATGAAACGATCTAATCTGTATGATTCTGTTAGTGAAAAGGGGTATAGGAGACAAAACTAACCTTTGAGGTTGGTGATAGAAATAGCATACAGGGTTATAGATTGAGGTTTTGCCATATGTTCATCCAAGCTGGTTTAAAAATACAGCACATGGGCCGGGTATTTACCTTAGTGGCACTATGCCTGCCTGGCAAGCGCAAGGTCCTGAGTTCGATCCTCAGTACTAACCCCCCCCCCAAAAAAACCCAAAAACCCTCACAAAAACCCACACAGCACAATGCAAGTATTTCACTGTTAAATGCACTCTGAAAACTAAAACTGCCTGCACATCGACATGAATATAGCTAGTAAATTTGAAATATTCTCACCACAAAAGTATTTGAGATGATGGGTGGTAATTAGTCTCATTTAATTAGTCCACACTGTACCCACGAATCCCCTTAGGTATATGCAACAATTTGTCAATTCAGAATAAAAATTCAGGGTCAATCAGGACACTGCCATTGTCCTGGCCGTCTGTACTCTGCATGCAGCTAACTGGGGCCTGGTTGGTGCAGTCTGGGTATAGAAGCCGAGCACACGCAGCCCTGTTGGGTGTGTACTGGAGACACCAGAGCAAGGAGCCTGAAGAGGAGGACAGGGGACACAGGGAAAGCATGCTTTTTCTTTGTGCATTTTTGTTTTACTTTCTTTCTAGAGTGGTTTTGAAAACTTATCATTATTATTAGTGATGCTGGGGACTGAACTTGGGGCCTTTGCACTAAGCTACATCCTCAGCAATTTTTTGAGCTTTTTATTTTGATACAGGGTCTCACTAAGTCACCCAGGCTAGGCTCAACTTATGATTTTCCTGCCTCTGCCTCCCAGAGAGTTGGGATGATGGGTGTGTCCTAACCACATGTCAAGGGTGTTTTTATAATTTAAAATGACTGTATTTTTAAATGATGGCACTAAATTTTCTTTTTCAATCAGTGATTAATTTGCATTCATTTGACTTGTGGGTTGAAGTACACAGCTGTGGGTGTGATAGGCTATAAATTCAATGAAAGGTAATAAGGTAAGGTTTGTGGCTTTGTTTCTCTTTCATGGTCTGGTGAACCTTGGATGGTATTTCTTTCCTATCAGGCCCATAAATCTTTTTACTTCTCTGCAAAGCAACTAGTCCTGGACTAGAAGAGTAGATTTTCCCTGACGTATCATTTATCTTGTTTTACTTTGTCTTCCTTGAGCTTCTCAAGATTGGGCTTCATTCTTTTTCAGAATTCCTGGCCAGACAAGATTGTGAGAAGACAGGAGCAGGAAAAGGCAAGATAAAGGGGGAATGAAGTCTATCTCACATTCCTTTGGAATCCTGTCTACTCAGCGCCTTCGCAGATACCTTTTTTTTCCTGTAGTACCCAAGTCCGATGCCTGCAGTCCGATGTACAGTAACCTGAGTCCACTTTCTCAGCCAAAGTTAACCATTTATTTCACTACAAGACAATAAAGCCACAGGTATTTTTCACATTTAAACTTTTATTTATCTACTCTTTAAAACTGATGACATTTGCTATTTATGTGCTCAAAAGTCATGCCTAAGAAGAACAGCAGTACCAAACAATATTTTGGTTAAAATAAATACAGTCCACAGCCAGACGTGGTGGTGCACGCCTGTGATTCCAGTGACTCAGGAAGCTGAGGCAGGGAGATCACAAGTTTGAGGTCAGCCTGAGCAACTTAGCAAGCCCCTGTCTCAAAATAAAATAAAAAGGGCTGGGAATGTAGTTCAGGACTGCAGCATTTGCCTAGCACATATGAGGCCCAGGGTTCAATCCTGGAAGAGAGGGAGAAGGGGAGGGGTGAGAAAGAGAGAGAGAATGAATATGACTGCCAAATACAAGACACAACTTAGGAGTGAATGCTCGATTAGAAGGCACTAGGAAGGGAATTTAAGTGTATTTAAAATGGGCAGTACTGGGGCTGGGGATATAGCTCAGTAATGCCACGCCTGCCTGGCAAGCACAAGGTCCTGAGTTCAGTTCCCAGTACAAAGGTGGGGGGGGTAGTATAGCATATGATATTAGGGGGAATCAGTATTCAGTGTCCTCAGTGATATTTGTACTGTGATTTTGTAGAACACTCTTGTTCTTAGGAAGGACATGCTAGTGTGTTTACAGGTGAAATGTCAGTATTTGGGGGTGGTATATAAAAACACACCTATGTTCCATGTATTCTTAAAACTTTTCTGTAAGTGTGGGTTTTTCTGAGTAAAAAGTTAGAGAAATTAATCACATTAAAATAAATGTACTGGATATGCATCCTGATTTCCAGAGCAATCCAGTTGAGACTATCAAAGGTGACACAAGTGCACTTTCTCCCACATACCCAAGTGTCATTACACTGACATCTTTTTTTAAAAAACTTTTTATTGGGGGGCTGTTTTTTTGAGACAGGGTCTTGCTGTGTAGCCCAGGCTGGCATCAAACTCAGAGGGATCTTCCTGCCTCAGCCTTACAGGTGTGTGACACCACCACACCTGGGCACTTTGCTTTAATGTCAATACCAGGATGGTTTTTTGTTTTGTTTTGTTTTTTTTGGAGACAAGGTCTCCCCCTGTGTTGCCTAAGCTAGTCTCAAACTGATCTTCCTGACTCAGCCTCCAGAGCAGCTGTGACTGCAGGCATTCACTCCCTGCCACGCCTGGCCAAGTGCACTGATTTCTAGGGCACAGACCTGACTGACTAAATCTAGCGCATTCTACCCACTAACTCACCATCTGTTAAACCGCTGACCTGACTGCACTGCCAGCCATGTGATTCTGACCCACGAGGTGAATGTACCTCTTCCACTAAAAGAGTTACAGTGGAATAGAAATCGTGAGAGGCAACTCAAAATCTAAGCACTTCAGTAGTTTATAAAACTTTTATTTGACCTAACACTTAATTCTTTCTATCCCCTTCCACACGTTCTTGATCCCCTTCTGATTTGTAAAAGATCTAGCTCCCAGTTTCCCATTATCTATCTCTTATTTTGCTCTAAACATTTTAATTAACTCATTCAGCTTCACAATTCTTTGATTTCATATGTGTATATCCATACATCATATTTTAAATTAAGTGTATGCATGTGAGAAGATACATTTAAAATAGCCACTTAGTAATTTCAAATAACTAAATTCCTTAAATAAGCTTATCAGTTAACATTTGGCTTCCAGGAATTGTGAAAAGAATTTATATTTTCATCAAATTCATGTAACATCAATACATTTTAAACATGGATGATAAATGGTAGTAGAAACTCTTTCTTTGAAGCCCCTCTATGTTAGTCAGATAGGGGGCACGCCTGGGAGGCTGAGAGGATAAATCAGTGTGAATTTGAGGCCAGCTTGGGCTATGTACTGAGTCAGATGAGTGAGTTCCAGGCTAGCCTGAACTACATGGCAATACCTCGTCTCAAAAAAGAATCCAGCACCATCAAACAAACAAGTGTGAGTATGCAAGACACAAAGCACAAAGCATATGTGCTGTGCACTAGGAAGATGACTTCACAGACTTTTTTTTTCCCTTTGTATCCTGAATGAAATTTTCCTCCAGCCTGTCCAACCCCACTTGGCTTTCGTTCACTCTGGTTCGTTTGGGATCATTCCTAGAAATCCCAGGGTGGACGTGCGCCTGGATCACTGGACACTGCGTGCTCGGGTGATAAGCGAGTGAATGACTGAGCGGAGCAGGGCGGGACGGGAGAGCCCAGCCTGACACCTGGCAGAGCCTCGCTTGGCAGCGCAGCACTTTCTGGATTCTTGAACCAGAAGCCCCATGTGTGCCTTTGATCTTGTGGATAAACACTGCTGGAGAAGCACACGTCGTTGACTGTTTTGCCATTTATAACAGAATGAGAGAAATATACACCATGTGTTGAGTCACAAAACTAAGTTATTAAATTTATGTGACCCTTGGTGTTCTGAAATTCTCTCCTTCTAATTGTTTTTGTTTGTTTGTTTGTTTATAAAGTGTGTATCCTTTGTGGATACACTTACCACCCACACTAAAATTTTGTCCCCTGGCCCATTACCCCCCAAAGTACGGATTATTTGCCCCTGATGATGAAGCCCTCTATCAAAATGGTATGTGCAACAATGGTCAAGCTTAATATTTAACCTATCTTCTCTCTGTGGTACCAGGGATGGAGCTCAGGGTTGCTGTACTACTCAGCTACATGCCACCATCCCCCTTTTCTTCTCTCTCTCTTTCTTTCTTTCCTGTACCAGGAATCAAACCAAGGACCTTGCACGTGCCAGGGAGGTGTGGTGCTGCTGAGCTACATCCAGGCCCCTTTTTTCATTTTGAGACAGAATCTTGCTAAATTAAACCTAGTCTGACCTTCAATCTGTGATGCTCCTGTCTCAGCCTCACAGGTAACTAAGGTTACTGGTATGGATGACCACCACTACCCAGGCTTTTAAATTTGCCAGGGTGCTGCTGCAAGTAATAGAATGTTGCTTTATTACCAGTTTTAAAAATTATCATATAGACAGTGATTTGTTTTGCTAACTGAAACAAAGTTTTAACTTAAGTGTGCAGACCAAAAAAACCCAAAACCTATAGCAACTGTTATCTGCCATTTCCTGTAGTATATTAGGTTTTAAAAATAAACAAGGTTTCTCATTCATTCCTTTTAAACCAACATTAATGTATATAATAATATACACTACAAGGGAACAGCTCTCAAAAGATACCAAATATGACTCTTTAAATGATGTTTTCCCTGGTCTCCCAATTGTGTTTCTCTTTTTCAAAACATTGCCACAATTTGTAATGTGTTTTTTTCCCTTGCCTTTCCTCAGCAGCATTTAATTTCCTGGAAAGCAGGAAACATGTTGGTCTTACATTTACCATTACTGCCCCAGCATTTGGTATGTGCTCGAATAATATTTACTAAATGATATTCAGAAAAGAACTCAGATGGAGCATTTAATTCAGACTTTCCAATGGCCCTAAATATTTTGAATATAATAGTGTCAAGCCCAATCACAAACCTGGCATTATGGTGCAACTCTGTAATCCCAGCAGGGAAGGCTGAGGCAGGAAGGTCGCCATGAGTTCGAAGCCAGCCTAGGCTACACAGTGAGTTCAAGGCCAGCCTGAACTACATAGCAAAAAAAAAAAAAAAAAAAAAAAAAAAAAAAAGTCAATCATGACCATCATGTGGTTTATTTGCTTCAAGCAGACGTTTAAGCAAAGCTACATACAAGTATTCTGTCCTTTGCTACCTTAGTAACACACAGGCCCTATGCCACCAGCACCACCGCCACTTGCTCTTTGCTTTATCAGCATCATCAAGAAAGGAAGGAAGCAAAGAAGAACAGAGCAGGGCAGCCGCCATGAGCCCAGCTGCAACATGGCTTTGTTTTCCTTTTTTCTTTTCAATTGGCCTCTGCAGACAGTCTCCTGGTTTAATATCCACTGACTTTTCTTTGTATTTGTTTACCCAGTTCTTCCAAATACTGTACGACTGTGATGACAGTTTATAACCAAATAGTTTAAAAATGTCCCATAGTGGTCAAGGGAGAGAGTACCTAATTACAGAATATATGAGTGTGCAATCCCACTGACCCAGGGATGCCTGTACGTTTGATTTTAGATTTACATGTATAGGTGAGTTGTAAAATAGTAGAGAATTCTCCTATAACCTTCACCCAGCCTCATCGAATGGTATCATCTTCATATTCTTGGTTCTGATATTCTTTTATAAAAATTATTTATTTTGGACATAGGGTTTCACTCTGTAGTTCAGGCTGGCCTCGAACTCACAGTGATCTTCCTGCCTCAGCCTCCTGAGGCCTGGGATAACAGGCATGATCTACAATGCCTGACCTCTTTCTTAATTTTTATTTTACATGTTTGTTTATTACAGTGCTGGGGATTGAACCCAAAGCCTTAGCTATAACCCTGGCTCTTTTTAAATTTTGAGACAAAGTCTTGCTAATTTGGGGCCTAATTTGGTAAAATGCACAAGCTGGGCTCAGACTTGCAATCCTCCTGCATCAGCCTCCCAGAATGCTGGGATTACAAGTGTATGCCACCACAGCCAGCTCTAGGACTCTTTTTGACCCTAGCAGATAGCCCGTTGTTACTAGTGATACTGAATGGTCCATGTGGCGCCTTCTACACCCACACACAGGTAACAGGAGGTGTTTCATCAGAAGAATTTTCCCTTTTTCCTGGCCTGGATCAACCAAGGAAAGCAGCAGGAGATTGGAGGGTAGGGCGTCCATCACACCCTCATGCCTCCCTGCAGAAGCCTCTATCCATGACCTCAGCTTAGCCCCTGCTCATTGTATTCAACTACAACATTGGATCAAAAATACAGTGACTATTTACTTTTTATAGAAAATGAATTCATGGGCCGAGGATTTAGCTCAATGGCACCACACCTGCCTTGCAAGCACAAGGTCGTGAGTTTGATCCCTGGTACCAAAAAAAAAGAATTCAACACAGTATAAGACACATTGCTATTAGTCCCCCTGGGATTATTTCTCCTCAGTTCAAACACACTTATCCTATCCCACTGCTCTTGCCCTGTTCGGAAGCAGTTCTGGAAGTCCTCTTTCCAAATCAAAACACCCTTCATGGTCATTTTGACTTTGGAGAAGAGCAAGGGATTGCCCAGTAACAGACTGGGTGCATACGGTGGATGAGGACACACCAGGATGTTTTTACAGCCTGCCTTTGTGTTGGATGGCACTAGGCAGTGATATTTGCTGTATTTTCATCAAACCCGGTAAAGACACTCCCAAAAGAAGACTTCCAGAGCTGCTTCAGAGGGGTGAGAAGGATGGGACAAGTGTGTTTGAAGCAACTGTTTTTACACTGAAACATTCAGCATGTAGTGTGACCACCCAAGTATCACCTTCACCCTGTGCACCTGGCCCCACCCCTCCCACCTTCAGTCCTAGGATTAGAGACAGCTCTCTGCCTTCCTTAGCCCTGGGATCCTTTGCCATTCCTAGATTTTTCCTTAACGCCTTTATGAAATTCTGCCTAAACACCCAACTGACAATGCTGATTTGCTATAGGGACCACGATTTACAATATGAGCCAACAAACACTACCTTAAAATTGGCTTTCTTTTTTCTTTTTTTGGTACCGGGGATCGAACTTGGGACCTTGCTCTTGTGAGGCAGGCAGGGGAACCGAGGAGCTAAATCCCCGGCCCCAAATTGGCTTTCACTAAGGAAATATATCCTCCTACTTGCTCCCCACCCATGCCACCCACAGAAAGTGGGAAAACATTTACATCACTGTTTGTTCCTAGAGAAAGTGCAAACCATGTCTCTTGCTTGGAAGCCAAAGTTCACACCCCAGGAATTGAGGTGCATCTGCAACTCCACCTTACTCAACATTCCAGGAAGCTCTTAACGTTTCCAGTCATGGCCCAGCGAACAAGTTGCCATCTGTGTGTGGCAATAACCAATGACCAGCAACAGGACTTGCAGCTGTCCTGAGCTGCTCCACACAACCCTGCCACCCACCACTGCCTGTCCATTCTGGCCATTGAAGTGCTTTGAAACTGTCATTTGAATGCAGGAAGACTCTAGTAAGGGATTTGAGATCACTACTCACATCTTGAAATTCTGAAGGAATAGAATGAATATGAGCATCAATGTAGGTAACTGTTTCCCTTTGGGGTGGGGGGAGATGTGAGACAAAGCAAATTCAGTCCCGCACTGGACACAGTAGTTGCCAAGCTCAGAGTAGAATGGAAGAAGCCTCCAATTCCACACCAGTCTCCCTTCCTGTTGTGCCCAGATCTATTTCCTAATGGATGGTGAGGATGAAAACTCACAGCATCCATACTGGCAAGGGGATCCAAGAGACTGGAGACCTAAGGGTCCAGCACCAAAGGAAGGGGACTAGATCTCTGCCACAAGGACCAGTGCAAAGACAGAGAATAAGGGAGGAAGCCCAGCCTTAGCCTGAGGACCCCGATAGGGAGTAGTGCCTGTGGGGCAGCATGCAGCAGGACCTCACCTATAAAGCCTGAAGCTGAAAGCTGTATTCTTCTCTCACCTTTCCAGAACACACTTAGCATCTCCTCTAGGGTTATATAATAGTCTACGTTTGCTCCAGGGGAAGTTTACACAGCTCAAGTTAAAATCTGAAAGTTTTTAACATTTCTACTGTGTAGGACAGAAATAAAGCTTTCTTTGGAAAAAGAAAAGAATATATTATTACCTAATAGAATTTTTTTTTAAATTTAAGTGCTGACATTAAAAATTAATTTTTCCTTTTGGAGTATTTTCCTAGTCTTGTAGGACAATCACTAATGACAGACAGAAAGTCAGCAACAATTGAGTCCGGCTCACTGGGGCAGGAGTCTGGCCACCCACAAGTGCTTATTTAAAAGAAATAGCCACAGTCCGCTGCCTTGGTTCCCAAAACTGACACATGGTATATTTACTTCTAAAATTTATTTTGGGTGACAGGACACACACAGACTAAGAAAATAAACAAAAATAAATAGCATCCCCAAGCCCTGGTCTATTTCTTAGCAAAGGTGGGAGATGTAACACCAGGCTTAATGTCTGTCAGTCTCTGTATGTGGTCTAACTCTCTCTCCTACATCTTGGCTCCAATTGAAGAGCCATTTACAATAACAACACTAAAACTATTTCTCACTTAAAGAATTTAAGGTCTGAGATGGGTAGACCCAAATTGGAAAGTATAGAAAGTATAGAAAAAGATACAAATCCAGCTTTTTAATGACACTTCTAGTTTTGGGGGAGGGGAAGGATGTAAAAGGGGGTGAATGGATCAGTGTGAAGAAGAAAAGGAAAATGGTTTAAATTATCTTGAAAATCACTACCATTTATTTGTCCAGGCCCCATGAGAATTTGTGCGAAGCATTTTCATTCATTTCACAGTGTCTAGCACACCGCTGACTGTGTCATAAATATTAAATAAATACTCATTGGCTGGTGAAAACTCTACATGGCCATGCTGTGTACAGGCAGGAAACAGAAGCTTACGGCGGTCACCCAAAACAGAAGGCAATGCAAGGTTTGGTTCTCAGTGTCAACATGTTCAAGTTACACAATTAGGGGAACAAACGAGATAAAATCTGCCACATTCACAGCCATAGTCCAACACGCTGTTCCTCTTTGAGGGCTAAAAGTTTATTTGCAAAAGAGAAGCTTTAATTAGGTGCAAATATTTTAAATGAAATGCACACAATATAATTGTACAGGCCAATTGTGGTATTGCTTGCTAGTTCTTAATTCAAGATTGCTAAGGTTGCTTACATTTATAACAGCAACATGTCACCTGGAACCTTAAGCACAGAAGCACCTATTTAGCAGATGCAAGCTAGCGCTGAACTTTCAGTGAAGCCATAGGCTTTGAAATGAACCCTTCTAAATACTATACAAAACTCGTAAGACAGACTGCTATTAGCTTATAGCCAAATTAGGTTACTGCTACATAATCATAGGCAATCTATAGAAAATAAAGACAGCATGCTTGTTCTACAGTTCCATGAATGTCAAAACTAAAGGTGACATAATGAGAATTTGGGATTAAGCAATTATAATTTGGCTATAAGATCTCAATGACTTCTACATCTTAAATTGAACTAAAATCTCTAAGGACCTTGTTTTCTTTGGGGGGGAATCACATTTTAAAATAGTACTTAAGGGAGGGTCTATTAAAATCACAATGGATCATAGCTGTCAACTTCAAATAGTACCTTTCTCCTAAAAAGCTTAAGCACACACTGGTGCAACACCGCAAATGCAGATGTTACAAAAGGAGCTAGAAGGAAAAATGAATTTTATTCACAACACTTTGCATATAAACTTTTCCTTCTGCAGATTTGTGTAGAGTTGAAAATAAAGGATACTAATATGCACATTATGCAGAACGTACAAGAGAGAAAAACACTTTATTTGAGTGAAAATTATTTACTCAAAATCTGGGAAGATTCACATCCACTATAGTCCAAATTTAACCTCAAGTGACAGGAAAATACTATATGAAAATGGAAAAAAATTAAATAGTATTTAATCAACAGCTGATTACCTTTAAAACTTTGGGCTTCTTTTCCCTCTGGGGCCTCTTGTTTTCTTTTATAACCTAAAAAAAAAAAATTAAAATGGAAAATGAGCCTCCATTAAAAAAAAAAAAGCTCCCATCCCCACCTCCCCAAAAAATTTTTGGCTATTTCTCTGTAAAACTACTTATACCATTTTAAATCATCAACATGTTTCTAGGCACAACCTAAAGAGCATATGTAAAATGTATACTTTAAAAATCACTGAAAAAAAACCTTGCATCAAGATGAAGTAGGGAAATACCCTGCTTTCCCTTAAAGTCTGTCTTAATTAGCCTCTGCATTCTTCACGGCGAAGCCCACGAGGTAGCCATCTTGCTTCTGCAGAGGAAGCCTCGGTAGTGGAACAGTTCTGCAAACTGCTCTCGGTGTTATTATCATGGTGTTTGAAGGCAGCCCTGGCCTGCCAGCACTGTAGACGTGCTGGGCATGCCTTTTGCAAAAACAGCCCCACACGGTGCAGCCAATGGCAATGCAGAGCTTAGCAACTCCAAAGTGATCTTCTCAGCCTAGCCCTTCCTAGACAAAGGGTCTCCTGTGCGGCTGGCTCTCACCACAGGACACAGGCAGCCCCAAGCTGTGACATGGAGTTCTCTGCAGAGGATCTGGTCGAGGCGAAATCACAGGAGGCTTCGGCCAAAACAATGCACGCGAATCCCCCAGGTGGCCAGCGCGGATCGATGGCGGAGTCTCCCTGATTAGTCACCTCTGGGTGGCAGCCAGGGCAGGTCCGCGGGGGGAGGGGACACCTCTCTGTCTGCACCGCACAGGAGCTGTCACAGAGCCCAGGGGGGCACTGGGGCTCGCTGAAACCACTCTGGAAGGTATTGTGCATTTTTACTTTATAAGGCAAGGGGAAATATTGGCAATATTTAAGGCAGGGAGGTTATATGAGGACAGTAAGGCTCAGCTGTTGGGCTGTGTGTCTCATTCCTCCGAACCACACCTCTTTGCAGCAGGCGCTTTGCCCGGAAACAGAGCGGTTTGATTTCTGTCAATAAATGTCCAACGACAAAGGCGGATTAGAAAATAACAATAAAGCCACTTCAGAGGAAAAGGACAGGGTGAGGACTAGTAGAAGGGGTGGAGTTTTCAAAATACACTTGCCACCGAGTGGAGAGAGAGGAGGAATTTCTGTCTTGCTAGGGACATTTCTGATGACTTTCATTTCGCAGAAGGCAGAGTCCACCTCAAACCTCGGGGCCTCCCTCTCCCAGGATGGTCACCCGAGCATCTGCCCCCCAGGCCACTGAAGCGGGCCCCGTGAGCAGCCCGTCCGCTCCCAGAGCCACCCTGTCCCCGGGGGGTCGGGACCCACACACGGTGCACCGTGGCTGACACCTGCCAGCCCTGGGAAAGGCAGGAGCCCCTGGCATTGCCACAGGGGCGCGAAGGACCAGGGCAGCGGCTGGGACCTTGCTGTCTCAAGGTGACTGCCCCACAGCAGTGGAGGAGGCCGGTGAGTCCCATCCCCGCCACCTTGACAGCTGCCGGGATCTAGGAGACAGCCAGCTCCACCTCGCGGGCCGAGCTTTTGGCGGCACATTTGGAGGTTGGCAGCAGGGCTCGCCTGGCTGCTCAGTCAGGGATGGGTTTTCCACTTGCAGTTGGATCCCGGACAGATTCCCACAGGCAGAGACGGGGAATAGAGGGAGAGCCGGAAGGCCTGCTTCTCACCTCGCCTCGGGGCTCCGGTTTGCCACGAACACGCTCTTTCCTGGTGGGATCACGAAGCCCACGGGCCTGGCTTCCTGCTGTGGTTTTTCGGGTCACTTTTCAGTGCTGAGGGTGGAACCTGGGGCTTCGTGCATGCTAAGAAGGGAGCTTCAAAACTTTTACTAATGCACGTAAGAAAAAAAAAAAATCCTACTGGATGTAGTGTTCTTAATTCTTCCCTAAACATGTGTCGCAAAACCAACAGAATCCATCCTAAACACATCCACCAGCACAAACGAGCTAAGCCCAGATAAGAGCCTCCCTCCCCTGCAGAAGGAGACCACAGAGAGAGGTAGGAAATCAGCCGCTCTGGACAAGTGCTAACTCCCACCAGCAATGGAGTTGTGAGGTACTGCAAACAGGCACACACCACCAAGCCCTGCTCACGGCTACCTTTCTGAGTTCCTCCAAACTCCACTCTCAGCAGCTGCACCATTTAAATTCCTGTCAGCCACACACAGAAGAGCCAACATTTCTCAGAGCACCTTGCATTTGTATTACAGATTATGCCTCCCTAGAATATATGAATGCAATATTATTATTTATTTTTGTGATCTTGGGAATTGCTACATCTCAGCCCTTTCAAAAATTTTTTTATTTTGAGATATGGCCTTGCTATGTTGCCCATGCTAGCTTCAAATTTGTGATTCTCCTGCCTCAGCCTCCTGAGTAGCTGGGATTATAGGTATGTGCCACCACACCTGGCCATTAATACAATTTTTAAAAGGCATCAACACTTTTTTCCATTGGCTCTTTCTTTCTCCCTTTCTCTTTCTCTTTCTCTCTCTTTCTTTCTTTCTTTCTTGTCTTTTGAGACAGGGTCACCCGGTTTACCCCAGGCTGGCCATGAACTCAGTGATCCTCCTGCCTCAGCTTCCCGAGTGTGTGTGCCACCACGCCCAGTTCATTGTTCAATCTTTAGTAAAGTGCTTCTGATTAAATACATTTCAAATCAATCTGTGTGCTCCATCTACTACTTGCATCCATAAAACAAATTAGGGTTAGAAGGCAAGGGGCACTGAATGTCCAACGGGTGAGATGTTGGTGTCCTGGGCCAAGGGCGGTGTCTACTCGGACACTGAGGAAGGCACACAACGTGTACTCAGCAGCCTAGGAAAGTATTTGAGGTGTGTGCACTGTTCTGCACAACTAGTTACTGAAGCCAAAGCTCATCTTATCAGGGTTAATGAAAGTGACCGAGGGCTGGGGATTTAGCTCAGTGGTTTCACCACCTGCTGCGCAAGCACAAGGACCCGAGTTTGATCCCTGGTACCAAAAAAAAAAAAAAAAAGGAAAATAAAAGGCTGTCTCATGCCCTTCACAGTTCCAGCAGAGACATTTAAAGTTACTTTTCAGTTTTATGCTGGTCATAGTGGGGCAGGCCTGTATATGTGATAAGACTTCACTCAAAATAAATTACAACCAAACTTCCCATGCCTTCAAATTCTAGATGAAGCCTCAATTCATTTTCCTGGAACACAAAATCTTCAAGATCTCAGACCAGTCCAGAGTGATGGATAACACACTTGTAATGCCAGCACTTTGAGAGGCTGAGGCAGGAGGACTCCAAGTTGAAGCCCAGCAACTTAGGGACTTAGAGACATGAGTCTCAAAATAAAAATAAAAATCCCAAGGCCGGGGATTTAGCTCAGTGGTACCACTCCTGCATGGCAAGTGCAAGGTCCTGAGTTTGATGGGGGGGGGCACCCAGGGATAGTATCTCATTATGTAGTTCAGCTGGCCTTGAACTCACTATGTAACCCAGGCTGGCCTTGAACTCTTGCCTAGCCACCCTCCTGCCTCAGCCTATGAGTCCTAGAATTACAGGTGTGCACCACCACACCTGGCTTAATTTTTCTAATATCCAAATACCTATTCAATATCCCATTACCTCCTTACTTAAAATTTTAAAAACAAAATAGTCCTTTATATACCTACTAGACACAAGTCTTCTAAACTGCCTGAAGGGGGATTCTTTGAAGATTTTGCAACAGTGGAGAGGAAAAGGAGGGGAAAGATGTCTCAGGAGAAGAATTAAGATTCATCATGTACGTGTAGCAACTCCCCAAGGTTAATGTAATCATTATGGATTGCAAACACCAACTAATAAAAATAGAAAAGAATACTTTGCAGTGTAAAGCCATTGTGGGGCTCAGGGAGGGACAGGCTTTGCCTTAACAAGAAAATAAACAGCAGCTGTTTCACCAATGACCACTTCTAGCACCAAGAGTGAGTAGCACTTAGTGCACAGGCCAGGCCCCGGGTTTGAACCTCAGCACCACAGGAAACAGACACCTGACAGGCACAGAGCTCACACAGTTGTGTTCTGGTGTGGGCTTAAGTGAAAACCTTGTCTATCGTTTTTTTTTTTTTGTACAGGGGATTGAACTCAGGTCCTTGCACTTGTGGGGCAGGCAGCAGAACCACTGCACTAAATCCCCGGCCCCGGGCTGGGCATTTAGCTGAGTGGTTTCACTGCCTGCCCTGAAAGTGCAAGGACCTGAGTTCGATCTCCGGTACCAAAAAAAAAAAAAAAGGCATGTGTGTAAATCCCCGGCCCCTAAATGAATTCTTTTATTTTTAACCTTGCCTATCTTTATCAGGAATGGTTTAGCTATACGAATTGTCCTAGTGTTTCTACAGACACTCTTAATGACTATTAAGAAAATATAATTTAAGGCTGGGGATGTAGCTCAGTGGTGACGCTGCCTGCCTCGCAAGCACAAAGCAAGGTCCTGAGTACAATCCCCAGTACAAAAAAAAAAATGCAATTTAGGACCCACAGAGGCGGGACTCAGTGGTAGAGCATGTGCAGGGCCCAGGGTTTAAATGGCACCTGACAGGATAAAAAGAAACCAAAAACAAAGTTTCCCCCCAAATCTACTTGATTTACAAAACTTCAAACTGCTTACTCAATGAGCACTTTAGCTCTTATTGCTTAAAATAAATGACTTTGGGTGTTCTTACTAGATATTTATAAACAATGAATTGATGTTTCCATTGCCTGTAACATTAATTCTGTCCAGGGCATCATTTAAGAAGTCAAAGGGGATGGGGATTTAGCTCAGTGGCACCTTGCCTGCCTCACGAGTACAGGTCCTGAATTTGATACTGGGTACCAAAAGGGAATAAAAGAGAAGTCAGATACCAGCGGGTGTGGTGGCACATGTCCGTGATCCCAGCACTTGGGAGGCTGAGGCAGGAGGATCACTGCAAATTCAAGGGCAGCCTGGCCTACATAATGATTTCAAGGCCAGCCTGGCATACATACTGAGATCCTGTCTCAGAGGACAAGGAGTACAGTTTA